AAAACCAAAAACAAAAGCACCCAAAACCAAAGAAACCAAAATTGTTATTTCTTTTAACATGTAACTATTAATATTCTACATTTTTGGGGGGGTCCAGTCGTAGGCCTGAACTCTAGGCCTGGGTGCTGTCCCTCAACTCTTCAGCTCGAGGATAGCGCTCAACAACTTGAGCCACAGCACCACTTACGGATTTTTTTTTCTGCTTATGTGGTGCTGAGGAATCGAACTCAGGACGTCAGGCATGCAAGGCAACCGCTCTGCCACTGAGCCACCTTCCCAGTCCCCTAAATAAGAATTTTTAAAGAAGGGTTCATGTCGAACATAGTGAATATTGACAGGCACAACCCACACGAATGTGTGAGTGTGCAGAGCTCCTAGAACCAAACCCTCTGAGAACCTCTGACTTGGTCCCCAGACCAGGAATCCAGGAAAGTCTGGGGCAGAGTTTTTGTGCTGGTGCGGGAGGACAGGGATCAGGACAAGCCCCAGGTGCCTGAGCCTAGATCTCAGCGTCTCAGAGCCAGAGCGGCTCTGGGTGGGGAAGCTCAGCACTGGGGATTCCCGGTCTCCCAGTTTCACTTCTTCTCCAACCTGTGTCGATGACTTCTGCCCGGACACTGGTGACGCGGCCCCAGCTCTCGCTGCTATTAGCGGAACCCATCAGCGCCGCCACAATTCCAGATTCTCAGGACAGGGGTCATGGCCGTGGCAGTGACCCGGACCTGGGCCGGGAGTGCGGGAGGGTTAGGAGAGAAAGGACCTCTGTGGGAGGAGCGAAGAGGGGGGCGTGCAGGGTCAGGGTGCAGCGGGAGGCGCGCGCGCGGCCCAAGTCACCGCCCGCAACGTGGTCCCGAGCGACCTCAGGCCGGATCGGAGGTCACGACCCCTCTGCCTTTCCCAAGGACGGGTATGAATCCCCCGGGACCCCAAATCCAAGACTAACCTCCAATTGCAGGGTCCAGGGGAGCGGCGAGGATTGCGGCTGCGGCGAAGTTTGCTTTTCAGTGGGTCCCGGGAGGGGCGGGGCCAGGAGGGCGGGCCCGACGGCGAGGAAGCAAGCCAGGCCTCCTCTCCCGCACAGGTCTGCTGTGACTTGGGGCCCGGGTGCCTCCTCCCAGGGTACCGTCTGCGCGCCCGCGACGCCCAGGATTCCATCTCGCTGAACCAGGACTTGAGCTCCCAGAGCACGGCCGACGTGGCCGCTCAGATCACCAGGCACAAGCTGGAGCCAGCCACCGTGGCAGAGAGCTGGAGGGCCTGGAGTAGCTGCTCAGACACCTGGAGGGTGGCTGAGGCTCTCTTGTGAGCCTCCATCTTCTGCAGATCTTCAAATCCTCTCCTCCCATCAGGGGAAGAAAATAGGTGGCTCAGTGGTAGAGTGCTTGACTTGCATACAGGAGACCCTGGGTTCGATTCCTCAGCACCACATAAACAGAAAAGGCCAGAAGTGGTGCTGTGCCTCAAGTGGTAGAGCTCAAGTTGAAGAGCTGAGGGACAGTGCCCAGGCCCAGAGTTCAGGCCCCACAAACAGAAGAAAGAAAGAGAGAGAGAGAGAAAGAAAGAAAGAAAGAAAGAGAAACTAGGACCAACCTTAGGACACTACTTTCCTTGGGCCTACCGGGGAATCGAATCTTCCTGACTTTCTAGTTTCTCCATCAGAGAGTGACTCTGACACTTGGCCCTGATCTCAGGACAAGACATGGAGGGGAAGATACTGCCTGAAATGACTGGCCAGCACAGGCCCCCCTGACTCTGGCAGAAACCTTGGCATCTGTGGAGACTGCAGCTTTTGTGAGTCTTAACTCTACACAGGACAGAGCCAGGAAGTTCCTCTAAGATACCTGGATCCTCTGACCTGTCTCAACCCCATTCAATACCTTAACAGGGAATAGATTATCAAAACCTGGACGTTACAATCCCTCTTCAACCCTATTGTCCAGTCCAGTCTCAGGCTGGTCACACATGGTGCTGCTTCAATAATAGCTCATAGGAGACAATGAGCTACTGAAGTATCTGGATTTCCCCCTCCCTCCCCAGATGGCCCAGAGACACACATGACCTCCCCCCCCCAACCATGAGGTCATCTCGGGGTGCTGGGCCTTATGCTTCTACCCATCAGACATCACCCTCACCTGACTGAGAGATAGGAAGGACCAGACCCAGGACATGGAACAGGTAGAGACCAGGCCTGCAGGAGATGGAACCTTCCAGAAGTAGGCAGCTGGGGTGGTGTCTTTTGGTGAGGAGCAGAGATACACATGCCACACCCAGCATGAGGGGCTGCCTGCGCTCCTCACCTTAACATGGGGTAAGGAGAGGATGTGGGCACAGAACTGTGGAAAGGAGGAGCCCATCTGGAGACCCTCAGCAGGGTCTGATCTGAGAGGTGGTGGTCAGGACCTTCTCGCCTGCCCATCCCTTACCTCTCCCCTAGATCTACCCTTTCAAACCATTGTCTCCATCCTAGGAATTGTCACTGGCCTGGTTCTCCTTGGAGCCATGGCCATTGGAGCTATGGTGGCTGTTGTGATGGGAACGAGGGACAATGAAGGTAGGAACAAGGTCCGAGTTCTTGTCCCACTTGTATTTTCATATCTCCAGTTAAGTGTGCTTTGCCTCCTTCCATGCTAAGCCTGATGACCGGGGTGCTGACTCCTCCTCTTTTGTTAAATCACATGGGAACCAAGGTCATATCATGCTCCTGATGGTGGTGATGACGGCATGTTGCCCAGCAGTGCAAGTCCATAAGGGAAGGCCTCTACTAAGTCAGACTTCCAGGATGACCATTGGTTTTCTTCCTTCCTCGATCTTCTCCTCATCTCTACTGATCTTTTACTGGTCTGTGAAAACTTGCCTAGAACTGAAGGCGTTCATGGCCCTACCTGACCTCACACATTGCTTTCTTCTCACAGGTAGAGAGGCAGCTATGCTTAGGTTGCAAGTGACTATAAAGGAAAGAAGGAAGAAGGAGGAAGGAGGAAGTAATCGCTGGGACCCTTGAGACAGTTGGGAGCCCAAGGGCTCCCCATAATTTCTTTTTTTTTGTCGGTCATGGGGCTTGAACTCTGAGCTCTTTAGCTCAAGGCTAGCACTCAACCACTTGAGCCACAGTGCAACTTCTGGTTTTCTACTGGTTATATTGGAGATAGACTCTCACAGACTTTCCTGCCCGGGCTGGCTTTGAGCCATAATCCTCAGATCTCAAGCCTCCTGAGTAGCTAGGTAGGTTTCCCCTGAGTTCTAAATGCTCAGTAACTGCATCAAGATTTTTTTTTTGGGTCAGTTGTGGGGCCTAATTCTGGGCCTGGGCGCTGACCCTCAGCTCTTCAGCTCAAGGCTAGTGCTCTACCACTTGAGCCACAGTGCCACTTCCGGCTTTTTCTGCTTATGTGGTGCTGAGGAATCGAACCCAGGGCCTCATGCGTGCAAGGCAAGCACTCTACCACTGAGCTACTTTCCCTGAGTAGCTAGGATTACAGGCATGAGCCACCAGCACCAGGCCCATAATTTCTTTTAGCCATGTCTCTTGTAGGCTCTGACCAGCTCTTGTTTGGTTCTTCTGCCATAGGCAGAGACAGCTCTCTGGGTTCTAAAGCTTCTCTCACAGCTTAAAAAGGTGACAATTATCCTGCGGCTCTGGAGAAGGGATCTAAAAGGGATATGGAAGACTCTCTTATGGTTCTATGAGAACTCTGGATTGGGACATAATGAATGTTTGGTCCCTGCTTAGTGTCACACCTTATACTGCTCTGACTTCATGAATATATTTACTTATTTATTTATTTAGTCAGTCATGGGGCTTGAACTCTGGGCCTGGGCACTGTCCTTCAGCTCTTCACCTCAAGGTGAGGGCTCTACCACTTGAGCCACAGCACCATTTCCAGCTTTTTCTGCTTCTGTGGTGCTGAGGAATTGAACCCAAGGCCTGATGCATGTAAGGCAAACATTCTACCACTGAGCCACCTTCCCAGCCCCTGATTTCATGAATTCTTTTTTCCTTCAATGATGTTATATCCCATTCTGTATTAGCACTGAAAGATGTACAACTTATTCCTGCCTTGTGTCCTCCCTCCTGGGACATCAAGAGCTCCTGGCTTCTCTTTTTGCACCTGGCTTGGACTGGGTCTAAGTGTCTGAATCTTAGAGATACCTGTTAGGTTTTTATCTTTGCTGCCTCCATCTGCCATTGCTCTACTAATAGTAGCACAACTGCTGTCATCCTGTGAGGAACTGAGGAGCCCCACCCAGTCCTGAGCACCAGGACCCCTCCCCACACTGGCCTGGGTCTCTTTCCTCGTCCACCTGCTGCTCTAGCAGAAGAAGGGCTGGATATTCCCATATGTGACTTCACTGAAGGTTGCTTTCAGCTATAGCCTCTCAGTTTCCTATTGACAAGGAGAATGTGGATATGGACTTGTTTTTCAAATTCCTGTCATGAGAGCAGGTTGATAACTGAAGGATGAAGGGTAAAACTTGAGACAGAATATAAAACCTGGAAACTGTCCAAAAATCATATGTTTGCTGTGCTTGGTGTGTTGTAGGTAGAGACAAGAGACCCATAAGAGGTTGGGACAGAGTGCTGGTGAAGGAGGACAGGGACCAGGACAAAGTCCCAGGTGACCGGGCCTAGATCTCAGCTTCTCACAGCCAGAGCTGCTCTGGGTGGGGAAGCTCAGCACTGGGGATTCCCAGTCTCCCCAGTTTCACTTCTTCTCAAACCAGTGTAGGCCACTTCTGCCAGGACACTGGTGACACGTTACCAGCTCTCGCTGCTATTGGCTGTGGGGTTCTAGAGAAGCCAATCAGTGTCACTGGGGTTCCGGGTTCTAAAGTCCCCCGCGGAGCTACCAGCACTCAGA